AGGGGGGCGCCACCTTGGTGGGGGGTGGCACCACCACGGGGGAGGAGGCCGGGATCGCCGGCTCCTCCGGCTCGTCCGGCATCTTGGCGAAGCGCATCTCGAACACGTCCTGGCAACGCAAGGGCGACGACGGGCGGTTTGGCAAAGCCAGCTGGGACCCCTCGGGGGTGTCCCCCCCACCCCCGGGCCTGGGGTCTCCACCCGAGCGACCACCACGCCGCGTGGCGCAGGGCAGAGCGTTCCCTGAAAGCTCCAACTCCAGGTGGAATTCTGACCATCTCTGAGATGGTTTTTGGGGAAAGATTGATCAGCAAGAAGGACGAGACTCGTTTCAAAGCCACACGATCCAGGTTCTCGAGATCCTCTCCATCTCCCTGGGGGTCGGACTAGACCCTGAGAGGTCCCCCCCAACCCAAAAGAGTGGAAGGAAGCAAACTGGGCTGAGCCGGCTCCCTCTTGGCATCACTCCCACAGCAAGAAGCAGCATTTCTGGCCCGCCCCCCACCACGCTGGGGGTCTCTGGACAGGGGGCAGCACGTCCTCACCTGCAGCTTCCTCGCCATGGCCACCACCTCGTGGTCAGCGGGGTTGTACTTGTAGCAGTTGGAGAACATCAGCCGCACGTCCGCCGCGAACTCCTGAGCGTCCCGGTACTCCCGGCTCTCCAGCTTGGACTAGAGAGGAGAGGGGGAAGGAAAAAACACTAAAAACCCAGCAGCACCCACAGATTCCACCCACCTGCTGCCTCTCTGTGCTGACGTGGCTGATTTGGGTCAAAACAACGACTGATTTTGGTTAGAACGCCTCATTTTGGTCAGAACAACAACTAATTCTGGTCAAAATTATTCATTTTGGTCAGAAGAATGACTAACTTTGGTCGAAAGAACGACTCCTTTTGGTTGAAACTATCCTTTTTGGTCAGAAGAACAACTATTTTTGGTTAAAATAACTCATTTTGGTGAGAAGAATGCCTCGTTTTGGTCAGACAAAGGACTGTGGATGGTTTATTAAAAAACCCAGCTGATTACGGGCACCTCAGCGACGTTCAGAACGAGCTGAGCTGGAACTGGTTGAACCCCAGTTCAACCTGGGGCTGAAGAGTCGAAGACTTTTAACTAAGGAGTGAAGGTTTGGAAACTAAGAAGTAAAAAATTTTGAAATGAGAGATCAGGATTTCATGGCTGAAGTTGGGCCTCAGAATAACAAATTAAAACTCGATAACCAAAAAGCTCAAGAGCTCTAAATAACAACTAAAGGTTTCTAAGCGAAAACCTTTGATTTCTACATCACAAATCAACGTTTCAAGAGGAAGCACAGGAGAATTTCCATCTGCTAAAGTCTTTTTAAACTAGAGGGACCTGCTGGTGCTGACCACGATGGATTTCACTGGGCGGTGTTGGAAGGATGGGGGTTTGTTTGAAGAAGAACTGAAAATGGTGTTTTTTAAACCAAATCGCCTCAGTCCTGTGATTTGTGCCCTCTGGGGCCACCTCCTGGGCTAAAATGAAAGGCTGGGTTTAGACAGGACTGGACACCCTTCTGACTGGACATTTTCTATCGATGCCCCACGTGGGGTCTCCCAGAAGCCCCAACGTTTTTTTGTGTGTTTTTGTTTTTTTCTTTCCCAAATAATGATGAAAAAGGGACCTGAAGCACCAAACCCCCGTGGCCAAACCCGACCTGGTGGATTTATCTGAAGACGTTTGAGCAGCAAAAGCTCGTCCTGCTCAGAGCTGCGCTTACTTTGATGGTGCTCAGGTCCATGGGGTGTTTGATGATGTCACAGTAATCGTGCAGCCCCAGCGCCTCCACGTCCACGGGTTTGTAGAAGGGCCAGGCGTAGGCGGCGTGCTTCTTGGCGAACATCTCCTTGATGATCCCACTGCAGTATTTCAGCTGCTCTGAGATCTTGCTGCTCTTCTCCACCGCGTGCTGCTGAGAGTCCGGCACGTCCTTCTTGGGAGGCTTCACCGGGCGGCTGCTCTCCCGGCGCGGCCCCAGCTTGGTGGACTTGGCTTCGGTGGGTAGCGATGAGGAGTCGTGGATCGCGTCGATGGTCGTCGGCGTCGTGGTGTCTGCTTTCCTCTTCACCCCTTTTTTTGTCTGGAACCCAGCAAAGGAAGCAAAGTCACCTTTTAGCATCGATGGAGTTGTGCTGCTCGTAATCGTTTGGGTTGGAGGAGACCCTGGAGCTCATCGAGTCCAACTGCTGCCCCAGCACAGGCAGCTCCCCACTAAACCACGTCCCCATGCCCACAACCCCAGTTCCCTCACACCCCCACGGCGTCAGGACGCTGAACAGAACCACCCCAGTGCCTGTGGTGCTGACTCAGATTCACCACCACTCGTGACTCTTGGCAACCCTACGAGAAGGACACTGGAAGCCCTTCCAAAAATATCCTGATGCTGCTGGTCCACACCGAGCTCTACACAACAACGTGGAGCAGCAAAGGTCAAGGGTGTGAGTCACTTCTGCAAGTCAGGGCTCTCCTCACCAGTTATATAAAGCTCAAGCAAAGGTGTGAAGAGGACAAAGGGAGTTTCCACACACACAC